TTATAATATAAACGTTCAATTTTTTAATGAAGATGACTTCTCAAGAGATCTTGTTATAGGTAGTCAATAAAAATAATAATGATATTAATTATTTTTTCCACTGGAGACTTGTTACACGTTGGATCGTCAGAAAATAACAGTCTCCGCTAACTCCATGGTCAACTGAGTCCACCGACCGTGCGTAACACCGGCGGCATCGGATACATACCCATAGTATATATATATATATATGTGTATACTCATAGTTTATAATAATATAATATTTGACATAAGAAACGAGTAGGCACGGAATAATTAGAAGCAGAGAGAGCGGGTTTACAGAGTGCTCCAATGGTTTGCATGAAATGTAAATTGTATATGCGTACCTATATATTAGTCACGACGACGTATCCGTTTCCAAAGCATTTGAACGTCCTGTAAACGACCACTCTGTGTATAATACGATAATCCTATGGCATACAGTATATTATAATGTGATGGTTGGGTAAATCCGTCGTAGGTACTCGTATTATATACGGCTGTTGCAGCTCCCGTACGCGTGTAATCGTTCAAAGATAATGTATTATTCGCTCAGACCGCATCGAATGTCCTCGTCGTCGAAATATCGTGTTAAATATAAAATAATATTAAAATATTAATAACACTCGGTGGTGGTCGTTGTCGCGACGAATTATCGCGACGCCATACCTTGGCTGCCCGCCTGTCGAGCAAAGGATTAAAAATTCGAAGAATTAAAAAAAAAAAAACAAAAAAAACGTAAAACTAAATATACCCGGTTTAAGATTTAAGTCACCATAATATAATATTGTATATTATAATATTAAGTATGTATTTACGATATGCTCACTTACTACCGTGCATACGATTTTGTATACTTTTATGTATATTTATATAATAATATATGTACCTATATCTACTATATGTATTTATAGTTTGTGACGGATGACGATGATTTATCGATTCATCCGCGTTGCACCTTAGAACTAATCGAATATCATTCGATTCGTTAAACTATGATATTAGACTGTTTTTTTTTTTTTAAATATTTTGTCGTCGTTATTCAATCTCGTCCGTCGACGACAATCTGAGTTGTTATTTGACGAAATTTTTATATGTTTATATACTTAAACACGCTGCTGTTAACTCGACCGTTTATATTATAAGTTAATACGTCGCGCCATAGGTATTTACAAAAAAAATAATTTTAATATAAAAAAATTCTAGTTTTAAAAACGTATAACTGTGTTTGTGTCATTTATATAGTAGCTAGGTACCGGCTCAGTCGTCCTACAATACTAATGCGTTATACAAAATCATCCTGTTTTTATGTTCTACGGTTAGTCTTCTAAACTCTGGAAATAATTAAAAATAGTAAAAAGGTCTTGAGCAATTAATTAATGTCGTTGTGACTTAAAATACACTTAGTTTAGAATACAGTATTAAACTAATAAGTAATTATATCGTCCTGTTATTTTATTCTATTTGCATGAAAAGTATTTCAAATTATTTGGCTGTGTGTCAAAGAGACTTTAACGTTCGGCTACACTTGACGATAAGGACAGTATCGAAATATTATACTCGTATATACAAGAAAATAATTAAGTAGTAGTTAATATCTTATTATTATTTAATTTTAATTACCTATATTCTAAAACTAACATATATGATCTTTATAACAATTATTATTACCTATATGATAAAATATTAAAATTTGTAAGAATATATATTAAAGTATTTTTAATTGTTTATTAGAAAATATACAATACGAACTCAAGTGAACAATAAGAATAAGTCGTACAAGAAAAATGACACAGAAAATGTGAAGGAAAAAAGCTATCCAGTGATAGCATCATCTTTTGTTCATACATAAATATCTGTATATATGTGTATTTTTTAATTTTTTATTTTTTTTTTCTCTTTCTGTAGCTATTGTAGGCTATTATAATCAATAATTATTTATTAAGAAGGTCTCTACACCAATTTATTTTCAGCTGTCGTGAGAGATTTTCAGAGATTGTGTTATTAGCTAAATCAAATATCAGGAGGTTAGGATGTGAGGGAAGTCTGTTAAAAATTTTTTATAATACGTTTTAGGTATTTCATAAATAATTCTAATTTTTTAGATTTGAGTGAAGATCGAAATTGGAAATATAAGGAGATGAATTGATGATTGAGCATAGAATTTTATTTTGAAATGTTTAAATTTTGTTTAAATTGGATTTTTTGGCTTTATCCTAAAGTTGAAGGGCCATCATATATCCATATATTGGCTTAATTAAGGATTTGTAAATGGGCAGTTAGGTATTTAGTTAAGTATATCCATTAGATTTTAATGTTTTGAGCAATTGGAGATGTGCGTTTAAGATTAATTTTTTTATTCGTCTAAGTGTAGTGCCTAAGTGAGACACCATTCAAACGTTAATCCTTGATAATTAACTAAATGGGAGGATAAGATAGAGTTATCAGCTAAGGAGACTTCAAGACAGGGAGCAAAGCGAAGAGTGAGGGTAGTATATAGAGATTTAGTTTGGTTTACTTCAATTCGCCATTTATCGTACCAGCGAGACATTAGGAAAAGGTGATTTTAAAGATTTGGGAAGCAGTAACTGGTTCTTCGTGTATTGATATAGTTTCTTTGTCGTCCAAAACTCAGCTACAGTAGTAATTGGAGACTTTGTTTACTTAAAATCGAAATAATAAGACGATTGAAATATTTTTACTTTTGTAGAATGTTGTAAATAGTTATAACTTTTACCTTGATAATATACCATTACAAACATATTTAAATATTTACCGTCGAGATTGCAGATTGTACTGATAATTGCAAATAATAAACTATACGCTGGGTAAAATTTAACACCAAAAAATCGACCGAGTAAACAGTACACCGGTCAAAATAGATTTCCTGTAGGTTTTATAAAATTACACGTAAGTACTTGTGAATAATATTGAATTATAAATGTGTACATTGTCACATTGTATATTTCACCCACACAATATCAAACAAAAAATTGTATTATTTTATATTAATATATACATTATACATATATGTATTATATGTATATATATATATATAGTTTATTAAGCACAAATACAGTTATACAATATACATTTACATATATATGATATATTCATAGTACTCCAAGACGATAAAAATGTATAAATCAATATATATATATGCGCGACGGTCTTTTATAAAAAAAAAAGGTGGTTATATAACATTTACAACAATATTATAAATATGTAATAATAGTATCATAATATACTAATAAATGGCATATTCAGTATGACATGTATAGATACAGCACATACCTATATGTTTATAAATTATAATAATATAATAAAACATGACTAAAGCTATAATACCTATAATATATATATATATATATATATATATATACCTATTTAATAACTTTAAAACGAAAAACAAAACACTGCACCACCTCAAAAATAATATAATATGGCTGCATATATAAAATATTATTAACTCATGTCATCGATGATGATTATTATTACAAGTCATTAATATCTACGTATGTATAGGTATATAATAGTGTGTACTTAATGTATATTAATCAAGCGATATTACATAATATGTACTATATTATTACTATGACACGATAATAAAATAAAATATTACTTTATTATTATTTTGTAACATTTTTTTTTTTTATTATTATTATTATTATTACTCAAACGAAAAACATACAATGATCTGGTCCAATAGAAAATTACTAGTAATTAGTTATAACAATGTTGAAATGATAATTTTTTTTTCGTCCATTTATCGCGTATCTAAACTTATATCTATATACATATAAGTGTATGTATTTATCATTTATATACAAGGTTTATATTTATATTTACAGTGTAGAAATGCCTTAAAAACGAAAATGAAATTCATATAATAAATAAAACGAAACATGTAATATACCTATATAATATGCGTAATGCCTCTTTTACTCACTATGTATAATAACTATATAATAATATCTAACATTGCACTCGTAAAAATTACAAATAAAAGTTTACAATTTATATAAATAATAATATTATTACCTATTCATATAAATACAAAAAATTAGTATATAAAGTATCTTATATATCATGATAATGAGTGATACGTTTATGCGTCGTATTGTGTATATTTTAATTTCACGCGGCTACTTGAACAGAATAATTATTATTTCATTACGATATATTTGATATCATATGAGTTGAACAATTATCGATCTCATGTACACCAGCATATATAACAATATTATAATTTATTACTATCATTATTTTTACACGCGTCTGTCACAGCAAAATATAGGACGTTATTCGAATAAAATATTATCTAAATAACATTAAATTTGAATACCTAATTAAATAAATAAGTATTTTCCCATATCTTGTAAACGGAGTGCAGAGTGTCTTGAGATTGTTTTGAATATACCTAACTGTCTATAATACGTTGCACGTGCATTCGGTATCGGCGCTGGTCGCGTAACCTCTGTTAACGAGGTTATTAACTGTTGAAAAATCAATATTGAATTGCAGGCGCTTAGTTTCCTGAAATAAATGTAGTACTCGTATGTATTCTATTACAATTATTTATAACTTCTATGTTATAATTTATATATATTTGTTTGCACAAGCCAAAAATCTAAAATTCTCCCTAAATATGACTATATGTGGTGACTGAAATCTACTATATGACTCGAGGAGATGATGTTTTGATCTCTACGTAAAACTGTATTATATAAAATCATCGTTAAATTGTTTTTGAATCCCCTTAAATAGCCTATCTATCATGCAATCCTCCTTACTAATCACAAACAGTTTTCGCCGACAATATAGCTGATCAAAGTTTTTCAAACTTTTAAGATGCATGTGTATATTTATAATTATAACATATAAATACTACTACTACTACTACTGTATATTTTATATAGGTGTACACGAGAAACATCAAATAAAAATAAATATATGACATAAAATACAATATTTTAACGCTATATAAGTTTCAATAATGTTTAAATTAAAAATACACGAATATAATATAATATACTTATGATACAATGGCGTTGGCATTGTTTACACGAAAAGAAAACGATATAATATATAATTTCTACGTCATTACATTTATATGAAGACGATAAGCTATATGTCGTATATTACACAATGATGTTAATAATAATAAAATTAATCAATACGATGACTTAATGCAATATACCTACAATCACTGAATCACATATGTATTTGTGTGTAAATTAAATGTGTCAAAGGTATATTGTTTTGGTTTAGCGTCTTGTATGCGCAGATGACTGTACACAATTTACATATTACAATTTCTACGTACGAAAAAATTATTATTTTTTTCTCCATAATCTCTATGGGAACAGAAGGGTTTTTATTAGTTATTTAAATCTGTATTTTTTTCCGCCGTAATAGAAGAACGGATTATTTTACGTTTTTCGATACGATAATTATATCGGTATTTGTCCTAAAAACGCATTATGTTCCGATTTGCGGATCTCACGTTTAATATTTTTTTGTGCAATATACGACACATAATATTATTATAATTATCGCTAAAAAATGGCATAAAAATACGAATCTCTGTACACACGATATGCATATTAATATAATTAACACGTTAATATGTTATAAAATGACTAACAATTATTATTACTATCACACGCTTGTACACGTAAAATATTATTCGACATATAAAATATCTGTATTTGTTCAACCCAATATCGGTACGATCGTTGATATCGTCGGTACACACGCATTAGTAGCGCGCATCAGTACGTTAATATACGTATATACACACACAGACAGACACAGGTGGTACATTGATCTCATCAAGACATAATGATTTCGTTTAATATGAGTACGCGGAGCGTGCGGCGAGGACTTAGGAATGTGAGTACGCGTGATCGCGACGACGACGAAAAATATTGGCCGCCGCACGCGGTCCGAGGGCCCCGTTCAGCACATTGGCGAAGCGACCGGAGGCTGCGACAGGGCGAAGTGCCCGGGCGGCGGTTGGGGCGCCACCGGTGAACCGCCGACGCCGCCGGGCCCGCCGCCGCCGGGCGACATGGCGGCCGGGGACCAGGCCTGCAGGCCCTGCAGCGCGCCCAGACGTACGCCGCCGTCCCGGTCGTCCATCATGGACTGCATCATTTTCGTGGCCATCTGCCTCTGAGCTTCCCGTTCCTCCATCATGTGACGTCTGCGAACAGGTAAGAAAAAATTAAAAACGAGTCACCACACGTCGTTCACCGCAAGGGCGTACGCTTTGCACCATCGATGCACAATTTGTTTTACGATATTATACAAGTCACGGCGTAGAAATAACAAATTTTGTTATTATTTTATTAAATTACTAGTAGGTACCTATGCGTGGTATAGGGCCACCAAATATATATATTATATAATAAGTATAATACCGCAATAACTGTTTTTTGTTTTTGGTCCGAGTCTAAGTTTATCCACCGAGCGAGATGATTTGCGTTGAGAATTTTTATTTTTATCACGCGTTGAACGAATTCTGATTTCCGGCTAGCGAGTACCTACATATTATTAAGTACCTATATACTCATAACGATATCGTAACACAAAAACACGGTTATAATGGTGATATTATATTAAACAAACGTGATATAGCTATTGGTATACAGTGTGTATAGCGTTCACGCGGTTAGAGGTATAACTGTTATACGAGTAAAAAATCGGTATACAATCTATTTTACATAAATAATCGTAATGCTGTGGTAAAGTGCACTGCGTATGAATAATCGAAAACCGTATACGAGCTCCGAAATGTAGAAAATCGTGATTTTCAGTATTGCCGAGTGGTTGGGTCCACTCTGTATAGTGTATAATGTACCTATATATTATTATATACATAATGAACGATTTTTCTATTTTAGCCGTTTCGTCGACAAACTGATGACACAACTGACAGCCGTGAAAATCGCTATCCGCACTATTGGGCTATAACGCGCCGTGTACATATTATATTATATTATAGTGTTTGCGCGAAAAGGGGAGCGTATAATCGCATGTGTGTGAATGTGCCAAAGTTGACAGTTTAAAAGCCAGTCTGAATAATTTAGCTGATTTTAAAATGCAGTTTAAGCGGATTTCTGTAACGGTCCGCGGGGCGCAGGACATGCCGCCGCTTTGGATCTGATAAAATATTAAACGCATTTGGCCGCAATCCGTAGAAATGTAAGATTTCCGCATCCGGAGTATTTCTATACGTTATATACTTTTATTAAATTTATTTAAGTGTTTATTGGACTCTTGAATGAGTTATATTGTACAACGATCTTATATATGACGCATAAAGCTCAGTACTCATAGTCGACGACTTGTTACACTTTTCATGACATCAATTTTATTATGTACAGGTAAAAGTGTACCTAACAAAACAGAATATATGTTATCCATTATACAATTGTTCTTAACTTCGAATAGTTCTTACTATTTATTAAAGTTCATTAAATAAAATTTAAAAAAAAATTATCTCTATTTATAATTAAATAATATTATTTTAACAACATTTTAAAAATAGTACCGGTGATATGTACAAGTCATTTAATGTATAAATGATAATACAAATAATTGTAAACAAAATAAATTCAAAATTATATTATTTATACTTAGGTACCTACTTACAACTATCATATCATAAATACAATCGAAGCCGAACTAACGTACGTAAACACATAAATTAAAATCCTACACTCGTAATAAAATATAACTTATAAGTTATAAGAACAACTATCCACGCGCGTATCTCTCTCACTCTCTCGTCTCCTCGATAGTCGATACGCGCGTATAATATTACGTGCGGGGTATCCTTGCGATTTAATTTCCATATACGTTTGCATGTAGGTACGTTTTTCGCACATCCCGTAAATATTCGATTTAGTCATTCTTTTTATTAAACAACAGACACCGCCATGTTAAACGGAGGAAAGACGAAAAAAAAATATCTTTTGATATTATACGACCGGCGTGGCGTAGGCGTCGGCGGCATGTTAGTATATTATGTAGGTACAAGCACGAACGGAAACGTCCGTTCATACACAAATCTCACATTTCAAAATGAAGCTTACTATTGAGTGGTATAATATATTATACTATCGTCGTTATAGTAATAAACGTTGATCATTTCATATTATTAGGTAAGTGCGGAAATCCGGGTTCGTTCACACAAACACTACTGCACAATAATAATTATTGTACTGCGCCCTACTGCGAGTGTTTCAATATTGCGACATTAATTCATTGCAAAAAAATATTTAAAAAAACATTAATTTTGAGATAATAATAGTGTTTAATGGTCACATTTTGGTTGACAGACAACAGGTAACATTATTCGTGGTTTGAATGATTAAAAAAAAAAAAGGAAAAAACATCAATCATTTTGTAATATTAATAATTTTGTGAATTTATTAAGAATTTATACTTTAAAAAAAGTTGTTATTGTACCTAAAATATATGATGACAGATAAAACTCTGATAACAATTAAGTTGTATTTAAGAAGTCGATGGGATTTATTAAAAAATAATTCAATGAGTGGATTTAAAATTGATAGAAAATCGTAAATTTATAAAATATGCGTGAATGTTAATAAATTCTTTTCTTAATAATACAATACTATATATTATTGATGCTAAGTATTGAGATTTAGTCGTTTATTGTTTTCTCAGTCTAATATGATAATCATATATATATATATATTTAACGTTTAAATTGGGTATTGACGTATTGTACAATGTACCTAATATGTAAGTACGTTAAAATGTTAAATTGTGACTTACGAAAATTCATAACCACTACCTAACTGTACGTATTTATAGATTCCTTTAAGTCGTGTCATATATAAATACGCTTTTAGCACACTGTCGTTTTCTGTCGAGTAAAGTTTTACTTCAGTAAATACTGTTAAAGTTTCAAACGAGACGTACGTTATTGTTTAATAAATTATTAAATATTTACATTATATATACATACAGGTTTTGTATATTACTATAAATTCAGATGACGGCGATTATATACGTATTATTATTATTATTATTAACTCGGGTTTAAGAGAATTTTCGGTTTCACGGTGAAAACGACATCATCATTGTAATAATAATATATTATATGCATGCATATCTAACGTGTTATAATACCGCGGTAGCGCGCGTGGTAGTAATAATTACGGTAAGTACTTCTCAGAAACACTTTATAATACAACCCCGTTAGGCATTATTATTCTTATTAGTAGTTATTACAGCAGCAATAACTATCCCTCTTCACGTGCAAGCGATTTAATTAAATAAGTAAACGCGTAGGTAAATAAATTAATATTATGTAGGTACTCTTTCGTTTTGCGGTCAAGTTAAATCATTATCATAAGGATTGCGAGAGAATTTATTTTACCTTAAATATAATTAACTAAAATATTATATTTTTAGTTATAACTTACAACTATTACTTCCAACTTCGCGGTGAAGTCTTTTAAAACATGACATGTTAACGCAAATTAATTGTCGAACGATACAAAAAATGTACTTACGTATACCTAGTTGTATAATCACACGACATGATAGGACCTACTTTAAACGGCATACTTACGCATATTGTAAGCAATTATAATTATTGTATGTACATACTTAATCACGTCAACTATTATCATTAAATTATCTATCGCATTAACGCGAAATGTACAGATTATTGCAGAATATAAATAAAACAATTATGACGGAATCTGTGCGTGCAGTCACGTCTCCAAAACGAAATCAACGTCCTAGCGGTAGGTTTCGATAATTGTTTTTCGATCATTGCCATTATGCGTACTCGCACGACCATCGAACGACTTGCTATTATCGTTCATTACACTTAAAACAATAATAATCGCCCACCGTCGTCCATCTACTATTATATAGTCTACAAACCTCGCGTGCAGCCTACCCGGACGTAAGTTGTACCAGCTATAGGTGCCTATACGTACCGATGGACGTGCCTACGTCATATTATATAATCTAATGCCGAACACGCTCAGTCCTAGTACAAAAACAACCACTAATCCGTCACTGTACGTTTTATTTATGACACTATAATATTATTATCGTGTTATATTTCGTTGAGATCTCAGTCGTCGGGTTACGTTCGGGAAATCACGTGGACGTGTTCGTCGCGTCGCGTCGTTTTAATGTGCATTTACATTAGGCATATCATCATCATACGCGCGTTTCCGGTGAATGCCTTAATTTCAACGCGTCCTTAATCCGTCAGCGGTCTCGCTCTGGGCTGCGCGACGAGATCGGACGGTGCGAGCGAGAAAAAATTAAAAAATAACGTCGCTGCCGCCGACGCCGCACTGCTACGGCGGTGTGGTGCGGCGGGAAGCGGTCCGGTGGCGCTGCGTCGGATTTCGTCGTCCCGTCGTGTGGCGCCTCCGTCCGCGCTTATCGCACGCACGTCTCGCCACTGTCGGCCCTTTTTTAGTTCCGTCTTTATTGAGAAACGAAAAAAAAACAAAAAAAAAACAGGTTCGACTCCTCCCGACACCACTGCGCGTACCGTATACGCCGCGCGTACACGGGCACAGGTAGGTACGCGCGTGCTATGTATATTTATAACGATTGCATCGTAAATTATTAATAATTGTTTACCTTTTTTTTTTTTTTTTTTTTTTAACGAATAATAACGTTTGTTTGTACTACTCGGGCACTGAGGGCAATAACGCGTAGCTGTTTCACCGGCCGTCGTGTAGTAACGGGTAATGACGACGACGATACGCGATCGTACATGTGAGGGGGTTGTGCGAGTGATGCAAACGAGATGACCGCGGCAAATCCAACACGTCGTTTCACCGCGAAATAAACAAAAAACCATTTCAGGATTTTGAAAATCAATATTGGGCGGTATCGATACCTCATAAAAATATTATGACAGTGTCTAGCTGACGAAACGATATTCCTGATATACGTAATAATAATATTGTGCTCGGATCAGTGGTGCGTTTTTAGAGGTTTCTATAAATGTGGGACAGAACTCTTTAAGAACTTTAAAAACACCTCTCCTACCCACTCACCCATTAATGGAGATAGAATAAAGCGATCAAATTTCTGCAAAACGGTCGTTATCGATTGATGTTTTTTTTTTGCAGTTATCCGAATATGATTTCATTAATATATTTGAAAACAATAAAAATAATATTACTAAACGTTTAACAACCAACAGTTTTCATCCATCGCCTAAAGTTGTAATACTCGGCAAACAAAATCTATAGTTTTTACGTTTCGACGATATAACATCATCATCGATCATCATCAGTATATTATTATTAACGATCTCTTCAAACGACAGACACGTCACAATTCGATCTTAGAGGGATCGCCTTAAGCTCCGTACTGCAGAAGCGAAAGACTTGACACCATTCGCGCACAATCGATGATAACAAAAAAAAAGCTAGACACGAGATCGCCGATTTCCTCTCGCTTATACGCCACCACTGTTGTAGTGTTACAGTCGTCGTCGTCGTCGTCGTCGTCAGAGCGGTAGTTTTTTTTATTACACCACTGCAAATACAGAAACGACGACTGCCGTATAAGAAAATGGTGGGCGAGCGCGCGCGCGCTTGCTCGAGGGAGGCAAAACAAACAAACACATCCATTTGTCTGTTTACTCTTGTACGGCGGTGGCGGCGGTAGTAAAAACTGTGGTAAATGTACATTCACAATATTATATTATATGTATTATTATAAGTATTTACTTGCGCGGTGTCCTACAGTATAGTAATAATATACAAGTGTGTCTGTATAATATTATATGTATATAACACGTATATACCTATATCAAAACGCTGCGTGTTTGTGCGTGCGTTTGTACGTAAATATATTATGTGTATTTTAGTAGGTAGTATATAACTAAAAAATATAAGTAATATGTACGTACATACAGCCATAATAATATTGGAGGTATATAAACACAAGCGCAGGACAACTGGTTCGCCCGTGTTATCCACTGGGGGCGCCACCGATTACACGGAATATGCATTAACTGCGTCGGCTCGGATAACACGTGTAATTAAAAAAAAAAAAAAAAAAAACAAACAGAAAATAAAGAAAGAAGAAGTAGAAATGGTATATTAAAACCACTTAATAGTGGCCCGAAAAGGTGACAGGAATTTTAAAAGCTTCTAATGGACTTGGTTGTTTTTTTTTTAATTCTCGTTTTACCTCTCCCGTCGTCGTTTTTATCGCGTTTGTCGCCGAATGAATTATATTATAACGTTTTGTTTGGCGCGGGGCCGACCGATTTGTCACAATAATAATAATATATGCATAATATAACTATATACCTATATTTTACCCGAACGTAATAATAATACTATTATACAGTTAATTTCTTCGTCGTCATTAAAATCAAACGAACGACATAATATTAAATTATGTCATTGAAAAACCATATTTTATTACGAGGATAGATATTATATCATACACACATATTTTTTCGCATCGTGTTTCGTTCAACCCATGTTAAAAAAAATTTTAAAAATTTAATTTAACGAGTAAAAATAATAAACAATTTTTGTTTTCGCCACCATCATGCATTGTATGAGTGCATACGACCGTCACGGCAACAATAGTTGTTATATTATTATATTATAAAATATAGTATACACATCAGACGTGATAATAGTTTATTTTTTTTTTTCATACGATGATGTAGTGTACTATATACACGTATAACATAATGCTATTATAGTAAGGACTGTCGATCGAACGCGTTTATTTATTATAACATCAAAAAAGGGTCGTTGACAGTGCAAACAGTACACGGGGAGAATTAACATCATAATGTCATTATTATTATTATTATTTTACGCGCGTGGACGTGGAAACGATAAACTGATCTCGTATTTATCAGTGCGAGTAATACGCGCGTACGTGTACTTTTAAGTCGTCCATATCTACATAAATATATTACAATATAAAAAGAACGCTTTTCAATGCCGCCGTTTCGATTTTATAACATATGTACGTTTTACGAGCCGTAATGGATCTATATATTATTATTTTAAGTGTATAATGGAGTTATTAATGAACGACAAATTATTGTTTTATATCGTATATCCTTAATTACGTATTATACAGATAAAGTCGGCGTTTAACTACTTTTGATCTCATGGCGCCGAAATTTTTACCCAGTGAACATATAATATAATATATGTGTACCTACCAATATTTAAAAATAAACGTACCAAGTCAACGCCCTGTATTCATGGCGTTATAGATCGGTGCGGAAATTTATTATTCTATTTATTGTTGGTGATTTTTTCCTTTTTTTTTTTACACATGCGTACATTGTTGTAAAAATGACACGTGATTTGAAACATATATTATATTGTTTGGGTTAATCGTTACAGTGTATAGTAATTAATATTAGGTACGTATATTATTTGATCGAAGTAAGTTATAAATATATTAATTCATATTGATTTGTTTGTGTACAGGGCAACATTCCGTGTTTCCCGTTTCTTTATTACAAACTACTTAATACAGGAAAAATAAAATTCACGGTGAGTTGCTTTATACTTATAATACTTCTTTAACCGTCCGAAAATTTGTATGCACATAATATTTAACAGTGTATTCCATTTTAATGACAATACTGATTATTAGTAGTTTATATAACTAATTTTCGAGATTTTCGAGTAGGCAATTTAAATTAATTTTATCATTGTATGTCTAGCTATAATAACTACAAAGTATTATACATATTCTAAAGAAAAAATATCGTATTTATCGTAATTTACTATTTTTTATCATACCGATTTTTTTATAGTTATTAAGAGCATTCTAAATTTTTGATTCTCTATAATTGATAGAAAAAGAATTTTCTAAAAATATAAATATTAACATTGAGTATCTGTAGAGTGTAAAATATTTTGTGTTGACAAAGACTGAAATTGTGATCTATTAAATTATTCATATTATGTATAAAGAAAAAAGTAATCTGTTTAATATTTTATATCGATACATTATATTCATAGGAAAGTATATTCTGTTTTCAAACATATCGTATGATAATAAAAAATATACAGACATTGCAGTCGTTAAAAAATTGAAAAGTTGTAACAACCGAAAAAAAATAAATATTTAAATCTCTAAATGAATATTGCCGTGACCACAGTCAAACTTGAATATCAGAAAAATATATTAGACACGTTTGTTAAGACCGATCATAATATTATAATATCATGTAATGATTGTTATGGAATGATTAACAAAGACAATTCAAAACTTTTTTTTACCTCCATTTGGTGCGTCTGTTTTGGAACCATGTTTTGACCTGCGCATCGGTCATCTTAAGCGCTTTTGCTAAGGCTGCGCGATCGACAGATGACAGGTATCTGTGCTTGTTGAACTTCTCTTCGAGCTGTGATATCTGACTGCGGGTGAACGACGTACGCGGCTTTTTCCTCTTGGGTGGCGTCCGGTTTTGATACGGATGTCCAATGCGCCGAGTACCCAGAAGTCCACCTGCACAACCTATGACATACAAAAGTTTACAATATAGATACATTTTTTTTTATATAGGTACGTATTATTTAAACATGGTCATATTTCATTTTATTTTGTATTATTACAATAGAGACTAAAATAAAGAAAATATAGCGTGTTTAATATTTAATTAAACAGCAATGACATTATTTTAAAACAATATAGAGTTAGAAAATAAAATAAAATATAGTGTTTAAAAACCTAAATTCAGTCAAATAATTTATCAATTTCAATCATGTATGGTAACTATTAATAAAAATAGCTTATTTACTTGATATTCATAAAAAATGTTTGGCTTATACACTTTAATATCACTGTAAAATGATTGTATTTCGCATTTTTAAATTTTATGAATATGCAGAATGGAAATTAATTGATAAAATGTAAATTATTCATTATTTAAAATTTAGGAATTAAAGAAAAAAAATAGTTAAGCTGGTCTCATAAAAAAATAATAAAGTATATAAATATTGATTATTATCGATGAATTACTGTTAGAAACACAGATAATTAAAAATAAAAAAATAATATGATTGAGAGTTATGTTACAGTGTATAGATGTATCTATAATTTATTTAGAATATAGATAATATTCCATCAACAATTTGTTCACAACATAACAAATTAATAATAATTACAGAACAATTTAGTATTACCATTGAGTATATATAGTATATATACTCAATGGTATGACCTAATAAAGATCTACATAGTAATGTAATCATTACAACAACTGACCTGCATAGTGAAATACAAATTATTGTTTAAATTATATGGACAAATGTGTTATAAATTAAATTGCAGATCAACTGCGTAATATTATTATTTCACATAACATAATGTTAGGTAGCTATATAGGTACTAAGTTTTTATGCCGTGTGAATAATTCTACGTACAAAAAACGATCGCTTTGCTTTTTTAAGTATATAGCGTTTAAAACATTTATAATCTTATTGCAATGCCTGTCACACAAATGAGATCACTGATGATATACGATACCACTGTGAACGAATTAAATAGGGTTTGGACAATATTACAATATTTTTTTTTATAAAATATTTTTTACGTGAGTAAGAGCGGCTAATAAAATGATATAAAGTGTCATTACTCATAATATTATAACCTATAATATTTACTCCGTCTGAATATCAATTAGTATTTTTGTAGAATACAATATTACAACAACGACATTTTTAAAACCGTTTTCAGACAATATATTTAAATGTCACGATAAATAAGCATAGTATTCTATAATATATTGATATTGCGAAGGGGAGAGGTACGCGCATATATTATTATTATCGCAGTTCGTTTTCCTAGTATCGCCGGCGCGCGCCCTTCTGCAGTCCCGTCATGTATCCGCCGTCATCGTAGAACTTTGTAAGCTCGTGTGACATTTAATCACGTAAAAATACTTATTTCTTTCTTCGAGAATTTCGATTTTTTTCATTCATTATATTTAAGTTGTGTTCACAACTTGATAAATTACTCAACTTTACGGTGCTTGTATACACCACGATGGGGGAGAAACTAAAACGATGGTTGCAATCCCATAGAGATTTCCGGGTATATCGGGTTTATAAAACGTTCCGGAAAACAAAAAAAAAAATAGGGTAGGTATATATATATTGTTATATAATTATATAAAATATAAAAAGTTGCTTTAAACGTGTTTTAAGTGCACTTCATCATTATTATAAAGCATAGGTACCTAGATTTGACAATATATAGTATTTTTATGTTATATGAAATAATATTCTTTATTATTATTTTTTTTTTTTATAGAACACTCGATTAAATATGTATTTATTTGTTTGACTTCAAAATTAAATTTATAAATTATACCCGTTCCCGTGTTTGATCGATCGTTATAATACAATTTTCAAATGTAACTAATGTACATGTCATTACTATTTTATTTTTTATTTTAAATATTTTAAGAGTTAATGTAATTTAATAATAATAATAGTAAAAGGAATGCGATTAATAATCCTAAATAGAAAATGTCTTTTGGTAGTATATATATACATATTTTAAGTATAAATAAACGTTAGACGGACGATGGTACTCACATACCATCACTATAATAAAATTTAAAATTTTTTTCTAACAATATTAGAGTGTTCATATATTATAAAATATAATATTCAGCTATTCAAGGTTATTTTCTTAATTAATTAATATTACATACATACATATATATATATATATGAAAGATAATGGTATATTATATAGTATTAAGCGAATTAACTAATATCTTATGCATTAAATTATTATAATAAATGTAGGTACTTATGTATATATAATAGAGGTATCCATTTTTGTTATTTGTTATCAAAAAACAGGTTTTTTTTATTGTATCTTTATAATTATATTATATAGTTTCAATAACATTAGAAACCAATTATTATACCAATTGAATTTAAACGATTATTACTTATTAGTCATTAAATAAACATATAATATATATGTTCATTATGTTTTAGTCAATATTTTATTTTTTTTTTTATTTTTGATCATTGATATTCGATTAAATATTTACGAGCAAAACGTTTAGGCAAAAAATAATAATTTTTAATAGTTTTGACAAAAAGTGTCTTTACGTAATATGAACCAATATAATAAATGTGAAACAAACAAGTTCGTTAATATTGTAACGAATGTAGGTAGGTACTTATATAAATTCTCACAAGTCACGATTTCGTAAAAATGTATAAATTACTGTCGAAAATGAGAACTCGGATATAATATTATAATATTATTATACACTGTGATTGAACTATACTGCTTATATTGAGAGCCAGTTTGAATATAATACGCAGTCATTATTTTTTTACTGAACCTATTTAGTAATATAACACATGACATATACATTGTACAATATTTAGTGTGTATACACGTCATAATGTATAGAAAACAATAATAACTAAAATATTTTTACTACCCATTTAATTATTACACAATACACATATATTATAAATTTTCATACTCATTTAAATATATTCTGTGGTGATTAAAATTATTGTTTTTTTTTTTAAATAAGAACTTTTTTTTCTACTTTAAATTATTTAATAGATGTCTTTTTTTATGAAAAATGATAAAAAAAATGCTGAAAAATCCATATCCTGCTAAAAAAAGTCCTTCTATTCTTGGAATCTAATAATTTAAAATATCAGATATTTATTAATTATTTTATTTATTTATTTATTTTATTATTCATTCTAACACCAAGGTATACGTTGTATTACATGAATTTCTGTCGTCTACTTACAGAAAATCCAAATCACCTAAAGACAGTAAACCTCTTACTCCTCCTCAGTTGCAAAATATACGCATGAAATATATCTTTGTTTGATTTAGTGAGTTGCCTATAGGCTATAATATACAAATTTAAGTTAGCCTACGGGGTTTAAGTACCTAATAATAACAAATAAATATTGTCAAACTGCAGTATATATATATATATATATATATATATGAAATTCTTAAATATTATAAAT